TTTCAAGGAGCAGCTGGTGGGTTTGAACCACCGACATTGCAGTTATCTCTCCAGTGCTTATCCTACAGCACCACACCAGGGCTCCATCACTATGTGCATAATTATGATGTCTGCAAATAACAGTCAGCAAGTGTAAAGATCCTGAGGTAGAAAAGTGATTGAGAAACAACGGAGAGACAGACCACAGTGGCTGTGTGCAGGGGGAATGAGGCTCAAAGATAGTTTTGAACAAAGAGGTGAGGTGGGAACCATGGGCGGATTGAGAGAATAGCAGACAAGTTCTGATTTCGGGGTGGGATAGGACCTCTCTCTGCCCTGGGGAAGCCAGGCCTAGTTTCTCCCTGGGTCAATGGCAGAGAACCTGAAGAACCCTTGTACCCAGAGAAGGCTGAGCAGGGAGTGAGGGGCCAGTCCCCTTCCTGGAGGCTGTGGGCAGTGGCCGCTTGTCCAGGATAGGGGATGTTCTCACTGGTTGGGAGGAAACGGCATGCCCCACATCAAAGGCAGCCCCGGGCGGCTCCCATGCTCGCACGGCGTGGGAACTCTGCTTTTCGGGGTTCTCGTGGGGGACCTGTGGATTGCAAGGGGCTGAGGCCACCTCGGGACTGTCCCCCAGCTCACTGACTAACAAAAACACAGCACCCCGACACACCCCACTCACAACTCTCTTCCCACAAGTATGGTTGAATGTTGTGAACCAGAACCAGGGCTGTGTGGTTTGTAAGGGGTTCCGGAAACTGTTAGGTTAGCTGAGATCTGTAAGTTTCCCTCCCTGTGGTATTCTCTGTCTGCCCCCCACCAAGACAAAGGCTCAGCAAAACCAGGTCATCTGTTGGAGCAGCCTTTGGCATTATATAGACCTACTCAATGGCATCACTCGGGCTGTTGTCACCCAGTGTGGTAACTCAGCACTGTCACCCATACCCAACCATACAGAATCCATCATAATGTCCATATCAGTTTTCATAATGGAACAATCTGTGATAACTACAGCTGTAAATTGCTTAAATGTAGTATTTCATAGATTATATGAATAATAACAACAAAATCATTTTGTAAAATTTTCCCACATGATTACGTTACGTTACAACATCATTAGTAACGGAGTAGCAGTCTTTTCCTTTCATTGTTGTTGTTGTTGTTAAGTGCCGTCATAGCAACCTTGTAGGGTTTCCAAGAAGTGGCTGGTGAGTTTGAACTGTTGACCTTGTGGTTCAAACCGACCTTGCAGTCCAGCGCATTAACCCACAGCGCCACACCAGGCCATCTTTTTTTCCCCCTTTTTTTCTTTCTTTTCCTTTAATTACTATTTCGTCTTTAAAAGAGATATTGATATAGGTTTGTAAATACTAATTACCACAATATTGTAGCTTGAACACTAGAGAATTTGATAAAATCAGCAACTGTCAAAACACCAACAGCAACAAAAACAACAGCATGTGATTGTAGCAAGTGCAGACGAAGCCATGTGATTCAAAGCAGCATTGTAATTGGGTAATAAGGACAGCTCTGATTGAGATAAGGTTCAATAAAGAAATTAGCATAGAACTTTAGCCTTCTAGGTATATTGCTAAGTCCTGGTGTGGCGCCCTCAACCACAAGGCTGCTTTGAACTTCAAGGTTGGTAGTTCAAACTCACCAGCCGCTCCTTGGAAACCCTATTCAGGGCTGCTATGAGTTGGAACCAACTCGATGGCACATAACAACAAGAAGAAGCTGTGCTTACAAAAAGTATTTTTGTTATAACTAATCACGGGTATATTTTTATAAAAAATAATAATCTTTGCTAATACACTACACAAAAATTTTCTAGGCAGTTATTTTGGTGCCAGGCTATCCAACATACCCCTATAAAGCCACTGGATCTGGGGCAACAAACTGGCTTTATTGATGGGTTAGCGGCTTCCTGGAGAACTGTGTTGAGGATTCTGCTTAGCTTGAGTGAGTGTGGTGATCGATTAGTGATGTCTGCCATGGTAGGCGATAAGAGAGCAATGGCATGTATGATAAAAAAAAAAAAATTATTTCACGTATTACAGCTAGCCCTGCAGAGGGAGGAGGATTGTTTTCTTTCCATGAGACAGAAGAGAAGGAAGGGGGCGGGAGAGATCTAGATATATTGAAGGAGTCCTGGTGTGGTGCTGTGGGGTAATGCAAATGTGCCAGATTGCAAAGCCATTTGAACTGCAAGATCGGCTATTCAAGCTCACCAGCTGCTCCTCGGAAACCCTATACAGGGTCACTATGGGTCGGAAACAACTCAACAGCACTTCACAACAACAACAACAACCAGTATTTCTACAATGTTGTTTTGTGCCATCGAATTGATTCCAGCTCAGGAGCAAACCCATCTGTCAGAGCAGAACTTCCCTTTAGGGTTTCCTATGTTGTCATTTTTACGGGAGCAGACTTCCAGGTCTGTTTTCCTGTGGAGCAGCTGTGGGTTCAAACTACCAAGCTTTTGGTTAGCAGCCAAGCACTTAATTATTGATCCTCTAGGACTCTCTTTGTCTACACTAGAGATGTTTTTGTTGTTGTTATGTGCCATGGAGTCAGTTCAAACTCATAGCTACCCTGTACAGGGTTTCCAAGGCTGTAAATCTTTACGGGAGCAGAAAGCCTCATCTTTCTCCCATGGAACAGCAGGTAGTTTCGAACTGGTGATCCTGAGATTTGCAGCCTGATACGTAACCACTATGCTACCAGAGCTCGTTAGAGATGTTTTTAGTGCTATTTAATTGCAGTGACCTTGAGCAAATCACTTAACTTTTATGATCCTCAGCTTCCTTATCTGTAAAATGGGTATACTAATACCTCACTTGGAGTCCTGGTGTGGCTCTGTGGGTTAATGCACCAGACTGCAAAGCCGTTTGAACCACAAAGTCAGCAGTTCAGGCTCACCAGTCGCTCCTCAGAAACCCTATACAGGGTTGCTATGGGTCAGAACCGACTCGACAGCACTTAACAACAATACCTCACTTAAAGGGTTGTTGGGAGGGCAGGGTAAAGGAGAGGCTTGAGGCAAATACTACACCTTCCCATAAAATAGGTGTATTGGGAGCGTTTTCATATATGAGTATAGAGTGTGATCCCTGGACTGTCTGTACATGTTTATGTGGAGTTGTCCAGGTACATGTGTGTCTGCATATGAATTTGTGTATACGTATGGAGATGATAGTGTTCTGTGTGTGTCTGTGTATCTTTGTATGCATGATATGTGCTCTGATGTGTTTGTGTATCTATGCATGTACATGTGTGGAGGTATGATCCCTGTTGTGTGTGTGTTTCCTGGGTTTATATATATATATATATGTTTGTGTATCTGTGTTTATATGGTTTGTATCTGAATCTGCCTACATATATGTGTGATTTGTTTCCCAGGGGGGCAGGAGAGGGTGTTTCCTAGTGTGTATGTTTGTATGTGTACATGTAGGGGTGTTCCCTGGATGTGTATGTTTATGGTGTATGTCTGAATCTGTATACATATAGATTTGGTGTGTTCCCCCAGAGGTGTTGTTGTTGTTGCTGTGAAGTGCTGTTAAATCAGTTCCGACTCATAATGACCTTATATAGGGTTTCCAAGGATCGACTGGTGGGTTTGAACCACCGACCTTGTAGTTGGCAGCCTATTACTTATCCTACAGTGCCACACCAGGACTCCTAGAGGTGTAAGGAGGTGTGTATATGTTTCTGGACCCAAGCCTGCCTTGGGTGCCATTTGCTTGTAGACACTCCCTAGCCACACTCTCTGGTGACAGGTGTACCTTCCTGGGGCAGGTCACCAGGGTAGCATTGGCCAGGCAGGGTCAGACCTCAGCAGACAGACATGGCAGCTCCTCCCCTGCCCTGGGATACTCTGCTGTCACTGCCCCTGACCTCCAGGTCTTTCAGGCTGCTCCCTGAATCTCAGAACTCTCCTCTTCTTCAAATGTAACCATTGGGTTCCATCCCCATCAATAGTAAGGCACCTGTCCCTCCCATAACTAAGCACTAAAATCATAAACGGTTGCACAGCCACATGACCGACCACAGCACACTGTCTTCTCTGGTCCTCCCAACAATCATGTAAAGGTTAGGGAAACTGAGAATCATGATTGTCATTGCAATACTTGCATGGTTTCCTTTCCAAGCTGGAGAGCAGTTACACCCTGATTTAGTGGGCTGAATCCAGAGATGAAATTACTCAGCTAGGGTTACACAGCTGCTGCTGAGGAGAGCGACAATGGTTAATACTATTAGGTCTAGGATTGTGTGCAGGCCTTGACATGCAGAACATCATTACAGCCTCACAACAAACATAGGAAGGCACTGTATTATCCCCATTTTACAGCTGGAGATACAGACTTGTGAGAGATGACGTCATGTCTAGTGGTTGGGCTGAGATCTGAAAGTTGTTCTGCCTGGTTCCAAAAGCCAGAGATCTTTGGGGAGGAAAAGGGGATTTTCCCCGGGGGCTGTTCATTGGAAGAGGGGACCATGTCATCCTCATAGGAAACAATGTTCCATCATTAAATGACTTTGGAAAACCTGGATTAACCATTGTTAACCACATTTCCTTTTGCAGAACTCGTCAAGAGTCTTTAATATATTCAATTATGTTATGAATCTCTGAGAGGGAAACAGTGAACTGTGTCCTAATTTATTTCATCCTGGAGCTCAACTTTGCTGGAATCTTCTGTGGAATTCGTGCTCCATAGAGCAAACTTTGAGGTCCAGAGTGATTTAATCACTACTCGTTGGTTTTCAGGCACAGTGGTCAAGAAGCAGTTCTTTGGAGTCATGTACCTATGTGCAGAGGTCGGGTGTGGGAACGCAAGGGTCAGCACCGCATCCAGGGCACTTTCAGGTTGAAGCTCTAGCCACACCCAACACCTTTATAGAAGGATATTAGATCAGGGATGGAACTCCCTGGTGATTGGTCTAGATGACAGAGACAGGATCACACAGTAAGAGAATCAGGGTTCCCTACTTCCTGCTAGCCCCTTCTCTCCTCTCGGCAGGGTCCCTGCACTCCCGGTGAAGAACTTGAATGGTACCGGGCCGGTCCATCCGGCCCTGGCAGGTGAGGTCCAACCTGGGGCAAGGGCGGGGTGAAGAGTGTGGAGGGGGTGGAGGAGGTAGGAGCCATAGTCGGGGCCCAGGAGGAGGCCTCCTAGCTGTCTCCACGTGTGGTGAGGCTGATGGGCAGGACCTGGAGGAAGAGTCCTGCCTCCAGACTTCTGCTGCAGATTTCCCTCCTGCGCCTGGGGAAGGGGCTGACAATCCACCCCAGAAACAGGAGAGGGGAGGGGGAATCGCAGGGTGGGCGGGGCCTGCGGTGGATGCCCCGCCCTGATGCCCCTGCGCTCTCCCAGGGATGACCGGGATCCTGCTGTGTGCGGCTGGGTTGCCCGTGTGCCTGACACGGGCCCCTAAGCCCATCCTGCATCCGCCACCCGTGAGTAAGAGCGACGTCAAGCCAGTGCCCGGCGTGCCGGGCGTCTGCCGCAAGACGAAGAAGAAGCACCTCAAAAAGAGTATGTTTGCTTCCCAGGCGTGTAACCTCTTGAGCCCTCAATTCCAATTTATTCCCAGGACGAATGCCTCTTGTGCATCTGAGTTTGTTCCTCTTCTCCGACTCCATTCCCACCAAATATCCAGCGAGCCCTGACAAACGACCTTGCCAACCCTGTAGAGCCCCACTGTCAGATTCTACCTTGAGCCAAGCCCACCCTGTGTCCCTACAGGTAAGAACCCAGAGGATGTGGTCCGAAGGTACATGCAGAAGGTGAAGAATCCACCTGATGAGGTGAGCCCTGGGGAATAGACCTGGCCTGGGTCTGCAGCTCAGCCCCCACCTCTGCCCCAGAATTCGAATTCCTAGTCCTTGGTCTTTGGAATTCACCAGAGGTGCCCTGGAGGAAAGGCTGGACAATCTACTTCCAAAAAGTCACAGCCACTGAAAATCCTATGGAGCACAGCTCTACTCTGATACACATGGGGGTCACCATGAAGTGGGGTCCGCTCTTGACAACTGGTTTTGAGGATTGCTTTTTCTGTGTGCTACAAATCTCTCCCTGTTGGCCCTCGGCCTTTCTTTTTTTGGATATAACCATCCATATCCCTCTTTTAGTGGTTACGAATTGGGCTGCAAACCGTAAGGTCACCAGTTCGAAACTACCAGCGGCTCCGCGGGAGAAAGATGAGGCTTTCTGCTCCCGTGAAGATTCACAGCCTTGGAAACCCTGTACCGGGTTGCTATGAGTCGGATCCGACTCGACGGCACTTAACAACATCCCTCTTTTGATGTTTAACGCTTTGTGTGTCAAGTGTAAGGCATTCTACTCCAAGATCCCAGTACTGTCACCCATAGTTTCTACTAAATGTTTTAAAGTTTTGCTCTTGGCAGTTGTCTTTAGTCCACATGAGGGGAGAGGGTGTGTGAAGGAGAGATTATATCCATGTTCAATATACTGGGGGGGTGCATCCAAATGGTACAAAAGCCCAGTAGTTTGAACCCACCCCGCTGCTCTGCTGTAGGATAAGTGCTTGACTACAAGGTTGACTTGAACCACAAGGCCTGCTGTTCAAACTCACCATTCACTCCTCAGAAACCCCATACTGGGCTGCTATGAGTTGGAACTCGATGGCACTTAACAACAACCACTCTAAGGGACTTAAGACTTGGTGTTCTGCTACAGAAGACAGTCTAGGGAACCCTATGGCACAGTTCTACTCTGCCCTATTGGTTGGTGGTTATGTACCGTGAAGTCGGTTCTGACTCATAGCGACCCTGTACAGGGTTTCCAAGGCTGTAAATCTTTACAGGAACAGAAAGCCTTATCTTTCTCCCATGGAACAGCTGGTAGTTTTGAACTGCTGATCTTGTGGTTCTCAGCCTGATTCGTAACCACAACACTACCAGAGCTCCTCTGCCCTATTGGGTTGTGACAAATTGAAATGGACTCGATGGCAATGGATTCTTTTCCCTTTGACAGATGAGTGTGGGAAGGGGGTGATCTGCTGCCCTTGTCTGCCCAGAGATAGTCTCATGATGGCTTGGGGGTGTCATCGCCCTCCCCACCATCCTCATCCCACTCTGTGCCCCCAGGACTGTACCATCTGCATGGAACGACTGGTCACTGCCTCAGGCTATGAGGGTGTGCTAAGGCACAAAGGTGTACGGCCGGAGCTCGTGGGTCGCCTGGGACGCTGTGGCCACATGTACCACCTGCTGTGCCTTGTGGCTATGTACTCCAATGGCAACAAGGTGTGCTGGGCAGGGCAGTGGGCAGGGAGGTGAGAGGGGCTGGGACTTCTGGGGACTTTACCACCCACGACCTCCTCCCTACCCCCAGGATGGTAGCCTGCAGTGTCCTACCTGCAAGGCCATCTATGGGGAGAAGACAGGCACCCAGCCACCTGGGAAAATGGAGTTCCACCTCATCCCCCACTCGCTGCCTGGCTTTGCAGATACACAGACCATCCGCATCGTCTATGATATCCCCATGGGCATCCAGGTAAGTTGCTGCTCATGCCTGACCTGAGCGCCTCTACTGTGGTTCAAGTCCCTGCTGTGACTTGATGGAACCTATCCTCACAGGGCCCTGAGCACCCCAACCCCGGCAAGAAGTTTACAGCGAGAGGATTCCCACGGCACTGCTACCTGCCTAACAATGAGAAGGGCCGGAAGGTGGGTACCTGCAGGAGTGGTGGAGTTCCCATTGCCCCCAATCCCTGCCCTCGAATCTCTTCCATATCAATGACTGGACAGCATTAATGACAGCCCCCCACCCCACCCTGCTGGGTATATCACACTCTCTTCTTTACCTGCTGAGGTCAAGTAGTTTTGACTCCATTTTACAGATAAAGAAACAGAGTCTCAGAGGCAGGCAACTTGCTCCAGGTTACATAGCTTGGAAATGGTGGAGCTGGGATTTAAACACAGGCAAGGAGCTCTGGTAGCGTAGTGGTTACGAATCGGGCTGCGAACCGTAAGGTCAGCAGTTCGAAACTACCCTGCTCCGCGGGAGAAAGATGAGGCTTTCTACTCCCGTAAAGATTTACACCCTCGGAAACCCTGTACAGGGTCGCTATGGGTCAGAACCGACTCGATGGCACTTAACAACAATCCAAGCTCTTAACCACTATACTATAGATTTGTCTATTTCATTTTTCACGAGAAGCAAAAAAAGCTAGATTTTCCTGTGAAATCTGCAGGTTGTGGCTCCTTAATGTAGTACAGCAGCCAAACCAAACACAGCTGAGGACTATCGTTTGAGATCCTCCCTTCATCCCAGGAGAAACGGGTGGATAACTTGGAAAGAACATTTTCTGAAGGAGCTCAGAGGGGAGTCGGTTCAGAAATTACACAGGGGAAGGAAATGGCCAAGCTGGGCAGTCTGCGGAGGCAATGCCTTAGTGTCTCAGGTGTAAATAGCTAATAGGTGTGCTGCTAATGGGCAGGTTGAAGGTTTTAGCCCACTCAGAGATGCCTTGGAAGTAAGGCCTGGCGAACTACCTCCCAAACACCAGCCTCTGAAAATAGTTCTACTCTAACATACACAGGGTCACCAGGAGTGGGAATTGACTCAACAGCAACTGTTAATGTTGTATGTCATGGAGACGATTCCAACTCAGACAAAGTGGAACTACCCCATAGAGTTTGCTAGGCTGTAATGTTTATGTAGCGTAGTGGCTACAAATCAGGCTGCTATCCTCAGGGTCAGCAGTTTCCTCACTTGACACTTAGAGCACAAATCTGGCGCACACCTGATTCATCATCCTTGAATTCTGTACACCTGCTTATAGGCCTTGGATCCTTTCTAATGAGGGTCTGGTAGTGTACTGGTTATGAGGTGGGCTGCTAATCTGAAAGTCATCAGTTTGAAACTACCAGCTGCTCTGTGGGAGAAACATGAAGCTTTCTGCTCCCTTAAAGATTTACAGCCTCGGAAACCCTATACAGGGTCTCTATGAGTCGGAACCGACTCCACGGCACATAACAACCACCATCTTTATGGGAGTGGATCACCAAGTCTTTTCTTCCTCGGACCCAGAGCCACTGGCTGACTCCAAACCACCTACATTTCTGTTAGCAGCCCAGGTTTACCCAATGTGCCACCACGGCTCCTTCTTGTAGTTGTAACAGAGTCATACAGTAGGGGGAGGGGCCTCAAGCCTGTGACTTACCCCCACCCTGGCCCATCCTGTAGGTGCTGCGGTTGCTCATCACGGCCTGGGAGCGGAGACTCATCTTCACCATTGGAACGTCCAACACCACAGGCGAGTCGGACACTGTGGTGTGGAACGAGATCCACCACAAGACCGAGTTCGGATCCAACCTCACGGGCCATGGCTACCCAGATGCCAGCTACCTGGACAACGTGCTGGCTGAGCTCACAGCCCAGGGTGTGTCCGAGGCTCCAGCCAAGGCCTGAGGCCAGAGCCTTCCCACCTTTCCTCTTGCTTTGCCCCTGATCCGGCACAAGTATCCCTCCGCTAGGGCGGAAGGCTTTAATGAGAGAGCCCTGGTGGCGCGGCTTCACGACTGGGGAGGAGCCTGCTGAAGGAGGAAGAAGTGTTCAGGGCATTTGGCTGGTGGCAGTTGGGATGTTAGGAGGACATGAGGCCAACCAGCTTCGACCCACAGCTCTCTGAGAGGGCTACTGAAAGAGAGTTCTGGAAACCACAGCAACCTCCCTACCAAAAAGACTGAGACCCATCCCCTCTCATACAAACACACGTGTCCTGTTGAACACATGCACGCACACACATGTGCCTCTATTTACCCCCAAGCTGGGGGAGAAGAGACAGGAAGACCCCTTGGTACCCATTGTGGATCTCCATCTGTGTCTATAGCATCTGTATAGGTCTAGCACTTAGGACTTGCTGGGAGGGGCTTGGGAAGCTCCACTGGTCCCCCGCCCCCCATGCCTTGCCCACTCCTGTATCGTCATCCCTCTCTGCCACCCATTGATGGGCACCTGTGTGCTGATGTGATGGCGGCCCCAGATTACTGGGCAGTTTTACAAAGGGATGGGCCAGAGAGGAGGAATTAGGAGTATTTTATTCTGTGCTTGTGTCTCTTCATCCTTCTGGGACCTGACCTCCTTTCTCCCCCCTCCCACCCTCAAGCCGTATGTCTGTTCCAGATAAAGGCACTGTTCTACCCTCCCCACCCCCTCCTCTCCACAAAGTCACTCCCAATTTCTAGATCCAAAGGCTGAAGCTTCTGGCTTCAGAACAAGATGAGAAGGGCTGGCTTAGGCCAGCGTGCTTAAAATGCAGAGCGGACAGCAAAGAGTCAATTTTTCCCTTTTCTTGGGAGTAGGCAGTGGGATGGCTGATAGTCTCCAGCCAACCAGGGGCCTGTTGCCCAGGCAACTCACCAGCTCCGCCTCTGTTTATTGGCTGCCACGGTGGAAGTCTGCCAAGATTTAAAGGGACGCCAGCGACGCAAGAGATTGCTCTTTTGAAAACCTACCAGTCCCACTGTGGGTGGAGAAATAAATGGTCTTTCTCCTCCTTACCGGGTCTTTTCTTGCCTGGAGGGGGTGGATGGCTCTATTCTTGGGGGCCCAACAGAGGAGGAGTTCTTGCTGTTGTTAAGTGGCGTCGAGTAGTTTCCGACTCATAACCACGCTGTGTAGGGTTTTCGAGAAGCGGTTGGTGAATTTGAACCACCGACCTTGCGATTCAAACCGACTTTGCGGTCCAGTGCATTATTCCACAGCCCCACACCGGGACTCCTATGGAGGAGTACTGGTTTGTAATCAAATGATAACTCTAAGACTATTGCCTATTTCACACTTGGGCAACTGGAGGTAAAGTGGAGGTCACCATTATTCTCTTGTCCTTGGGCAGAGAGGAGGAATAGTTGTAGGGGAAGCAAGCCTTCCTAATCCCAGACCCCAAGAAAGCAGAGGTGAAAATGTAGGCCTCAAACACAAGGCATTGCCATAGCTGCTCCCTGAAGCCCAACACCAGAGCTGAGAAAATACAGAGATTCATGGAGCTATCATGACCCTCAGAGCCCCAGTGCCTGTCCTTGAAGAGGAGGGACAGGTTCTAGAGAGAAAAGAAGCAAGCCTCCAGCATCTGTCCACCTCAAATCCTAGTTTCTGCAACATCCCAGGTTACCAGGGTGACTGTGAGAAATGCTGTGGTGCCAGGTGCCCCCTGCTGGCCACTTGCGGGATAGCCCACATCTTTCCTAGACCTTGGGTAGGTGCCATCTGGGTCCCACCCTCTAATCACACAAATCCTCAAACAAGGCCTTGGAGGCCCTTTCAGTTATGCCAACTGGGTGTTCCCAAATATTTTATCCTCTTTTCGTTCTCAACCAAAACCTTAATCTATAAAATTGCCCATTCCCCAGCTATCTCAGTCTCAAACTTAATGGCCACCCACCTTCCCTGAGGAACTTGTTAATATATTGATCCTGCCCCAGATTCTGATGTAGTAGATCTGGGGGGCAGGTTCCAGAATCTGCATTTTCAGCCATCGCCCCCAGGGGATGAGTTTTGAATCTGAGGAACCCTTTTCTGGCTCCTGATGTATACCCAGGGAGCCCATTTTGAGAACCACATAAATATGGAGGATTTTAGAGCGTAAACTGGGGAGGGGGAAAGAGCCTTGCTCAAGCTGTCTCAGGCTCCAAACATCTGAATCTCACATACTGGATCCCCAGCCTCAGTTTTCCCTGATTGTAGTTCCTTGTAGATCCTTGCCCATGGGTAAGGACAGGGTTAAAGGGTTACAGGGATTGGCAGACATGAAGACAAAAAGGCTGAGCTCATTTAGTGTCTGGAGAAACATGGCTACATGGACATAGGGAATTCAGGTACAGCTGTATCCAGCAGCTCAGAGCCAGGTCGGCCTTGCTGGCGTGGTTAGAAGCCAGTCAGGTGAAGCAGAAGCCTCAGACTCAGTCAAATAAGTCAGGTTCCTTACTCCATCCACTCCAGTCTGCCTCACCCAGGTGGGCGAAATTCATTCAGTGCAAGACTGCCCCTCTGAGGGCTTTTGTACCTCTGGCTCCAAGCTCTTAGAATAGGCACATCTTTAGGAGCCTCTGAGCCACAGCATCAAGGTGATACAGGACCGGCCACCTGGGCCAGGGTATGATGGGAAGGGCCTGGCAGCTCCTTGCTCCTCCTTCTAGGTTGGACTCTGGTATCTCAAGGTCCAAGGGGCCTAGAGGAAGCATGATCCTGTTCCTGCCGCTGGAACTCCTCATGGACTCGGTCCAGTTCTTCCAGCACGTCCAGCAAGCGGACAGCAGCCGTTCTTTGCCAGGCTAGGGCATTAGGACAGTCCCCTGGGAGGAAGACACGGGGCCATGTGGGCTCAGCCGAGTCAGGGTGGACTACCATAGCCCGCACCTTATGGGTTATTTCCTTGTACTCTGGTAATTCTAAAATGCACCAGAGCCCCCAGCCATACACAGATGCCTCACACATGATGAGCTGGAAACAGGAAGGTGGGAGGGAGGGAGAAAGGGTGTGCTTGGCAAGTTGAAGGGGAAGAGCAGGGCGTAGAGAAAAGAGTCTTCTTAACACCTTACCTTCCATGAGGCCCTTCTCTGTATCTGCCTCCCAAGTTGTGTCCTCCAGGAATTTCATCCTGGATGTTGAGAGAGAAAGACAAGGCCTTATTCCAATCCTGCTCCCTCCCTCTGCTGACTGCAGGTTTTCTTCCCTCCTCTTGCTTGTATGATCACCATCTCAGCAAACCTTTCTAAGTACTATTCTAACCCCTTGGCACGAATTAATTCATTTAATTATCATAACAAACCTATTTGCTCCACTATGCAAATTGAACACAAAAACACAGAGAGGTAAAGAAATTTGTCTAAGATTGCACCAAAACACATTCCACCACCCCACCCCACCCCCCAAATCTAACCCATGGTTGCTGAGTCAATTCCAACGCATAGTTACCCTAAAGGACAGAATAAATCAGCCTCATAGGTTCCTTAGACTGTAAATCTTTACAGAAGAAAGACTGCCATAGATTTACCCTGCAGAGCAACTAGTGAATTCAAACCACTGACCTTTCAGCGAGGAGCCAAGTGCTTAACCACTGCACCACCAGGGCTCCTTAAGGTCACACAGCTGAATAATAATGGTGTCGGGTGCCTTTGAGTTCATTCCAACTCATTGCGACCCATATGACAAACTGTCCCACAGGGCTTTCTAGGCTGTATCCTTCGTGGGAAGGAGACCTGATAGCATAGTGGGTTATGAGTTTGGCTGCAAGGTCAGGAGTTCAAAACTACCAGCTGTTCCCATAAAGATTTATAGCTTCAGAAACCCTATGCGGGGTTGCCATGAGTTGGAACTGAATCGACAGCACATCACCACCTATCTTTATGGGGGAAGATCAGCAGGATTTTCTCCCAGAGTCACTGTGTGGGCTCCAACTGCTAACCTTTTGGTTAGCAGCTGAGTGCTTCACCATAGCACCACCACTTATTAAAAGCTAACTCTGTGGCTGGGCACCTACACAGTGCTTTACTTGTATGCATTCATTTGATCCTCACAATAGTCCTATAAGATAATTACTATTATCATCCCCATTTCCCAGATGAGGAAAATGAGGTACAGAGACATTAAATAAGTGGCTGGGTCAGGATTTAAACCCAGGCAAGCCGGTTTCACAGAGTAATGGGGACCTGGAGGCCAGGAAGGAGGAAGGACATGCCCAAGGTCATTTAGCAAGCTCAGGAGATCCAGACTGGTCTGAATTGTTGCCCCCCGAATATTGTTAAGCTCCCAGGATCCAGCTCTGGATTAGGGCAACCTGAGGAGTTCCCAAGTTCTGCCTTTGTGGACACCCGTTCCTCATCCTGGGCCTAGTGCCAGGAGACTCAGTTGATACTCATGGAAAAAAGGAACAAATGAATGTGGGGACCACCATGGGCAGCTGGCCTAGCTGGCCATAGGGTGATGTGGGCCAGGTTAGAATACCCACCTGAGCTGGTCCCGCCCCAGAAGCAGCTGCCGGTATACCATCTGGGTCTCCGCATCAGGATCCAGAGGGTCACTCCAGTCCCCCAGGGTGACGGCCGAGTGGGTGCGACTGCAGCCAGCGGCTGAGGGGTACACAGTACAGTCTGTGACTCCCCCCACCCTTCCAGGAGCCTCCGTGGCCAGGCAACTGCCTGAAATCTCTCTCCAAACCTAACACTTTGCTTCAGCCACCTCTTCCCTGGACATCAGCGATGGCCTTACTCTCACTGAAATCCACCTCCAATAAGCTAGGCTCTGCCTTCCAGCCCACGGTGCCTCACTTCCACCTCCATGCCTCATCCACGCTAGGAACTCCTCCTTGCCCATCTCTGTCTGCTTAACAATTATTTTTCTGGTCCTATTGGAGCAGTGCCTCCTCCCAGAAGCCTTCCTAGACCTCTTGTCCTGGGGTTGGCTCAGAAGCGCCCTCTAGAGTCCCATAAACTTTTTGCTGGCACTTTTGACACATTGTCATTGTCTGGTTATGACTTGTCTTCTTTGAAAAAGGTATGTCTGTTTGCCACTAAATACCTGCTGCGTGATAGTGTTGCTTTTGCGTGCCGTCTCACAATGACTCTGGTAGGATTTCTGAGAGGCTGGTGGGTTTGAACTGTCTACCTTGCAGTTATTAGTCCAGTGCTTATCCTACAGTGCCATACAGGGGTTACCACATCATGGTGGTGGTTATGTGCCGTGGAGTCATTTCTGACTCAGTAGTGACCCTGTATAGGACTTCTGAGGCTGTAAATCTTTACAGGAGCAGAAAGTCTCGTCTTTCTCTTGTGGAACGGCTGGTAGATTCTAACTACATCCCAACTCATAACCCACCAGGGCTCCCACATCACAGTAGTAGTTGTTGTTGTGCTGTGGAGTCAGTTCTAACCCGTAGCCATCCTGTATAGGGTTTCCAAGGAGTGGCTGGTGAGTTTGAACTGCCAGACCTTGCGGTTCAAACCAACTTTGCAGTCCAATGCATTAACCTTCAGTGCCACACCAGGACTCCAACTAACAGTGACCCTGAGACTTCTGAGGAGCTCTGGTAGCATAGTGGTTACGAATCTGGCTGCTAATCTCACAGTCAGCAGTTCGAAACTACCAGCTGTTCCTTGGCACATCACCACCACCACCATAAGACTTCTGAGGCTTTAAATCTTTGCAGAAGCAGAAAGCCTCTTCCTTCTACTGATGAGCAACTGGTGGACTTGAACCTCTGACTCTGTGGTTCGCAATCCAGCGCTTATTGTATGAAACCACCATACTGCTATACCACATCACAGTGGTGGTGGTTATGTGTCATGTAGTCAGTTCTGACTCATAGCGACCCTGCATAGGGTTTCCTAGGCTGTAAATCTTTACGGGAGCAGAAAGCCTCATCTTTCTCCCATGGAACAGGTGGTAGTTTCGAAACGCTGATCTTGAGGGTATCAGCCCCACTTGTAACCCATATGCTACATAGTTGTTGTTGTTGTTGTTGTTAGGTGCCATCGAGTCGGTGCCGACCCATAGTGACCTTACACACAGCAGAACGAAACATTTTCCAATCCTGGGCCAACCTCATTACTGTTGCCACGCATGAGTCCAACCTCACGACTGCTGCCACTTGGCCAATCCATCTCGTTGGGGGTCTTCCTCTTTTTCTCTGACCCTCCACCTTACCAAATATGATGTCCTTCTCCAGTGACTGGGTCCCTCCTGACAATATGTCCAAAGTATGAGAGACGAAGTTTGGCCATCTTGGCCTCCAAAGAGCACTCTAGCTGCACTTCTTCCAAAACAGATCTATTGGTTCTTTTGGCAGCCCATGGCACTTTCAATATTATCCTCCAACACCATAACTCAAAAGCATCAATTATTTTACATTTTCCTTATTCACTGTCCAGCTTTGTTACATAGTAGGTACTTTAAAATTAACTCACATTTAATGATCACTTGCTATGGGTCAAAGCAACGTTTTAGGCTTTACTGTGTTGTTGTTGTTACGGGTCGTTGTGGTGATTCCAACTCACAGAGACCCTGTGTAGGGTTTCCGAGGTTCAAGTCGACTTTTCAGACCAGCGCATTAACCCACACTGTGTATGAACTCATTTAATCCTCAAAACAACCCTAATATTATCCGTTGTTGTCGAATCTATTCCAACTCATAGCGATCCTGTAAGACAGAGTACAGCTACCCTCATAGGGCTTCCAAAGCTGTAACGGAGTCATAAACACCAGATTGCTAACCTCAAAGTCAGAGGTTCACACCCACCAGTCGTGCCTCGGAAACCCTATACAGGGGCCGCTATGATTTGGAGTCGAGTCGCCGGCACACAACAACAATCTTGTTGTGCTGTAGGATAAGCACTGGACTGCTAGCTCAAGGTTGGCAGTTCAAACCCACCAGTCGCTTCCTGGAAGCCATATATTGGGTCGCGCTATGAGTCGGAACCGACTTGAAGGCACTTAAATTGACAACCTTTAACAGTCTTTAAGAAAGTAGGTTGCCTCGCGTGGAGCAGCTAATGTATTCAAACAGGTAACTTTTTGGTTAGCAGTCGAATGCTCAACCTCTGCATCGCCAAGGCAGTATTAGCAACACCTTTCACAGGTGTAGAGACATTGAAGTCAATTTGTTCAGTGCCTTCGAGTCGGTTCCAACTCACAGTAGCCCTCTAAGGAGCAGCTGGTGAGTTTGAACCGGCAACCTTGTGGTTCAAATTGATCTGAGGTCCAGTGTTTTACACAACAGAGACACACTAGGATTCCCAGTAACTTGCCCTAATGGCACATCAGCCCAGGAAGAAGGGAGCCCACTGATGGACAGGTTTGGAGGCGGAGCCTGAAGTCCGCCCAGCCCCTCACCTGACCGCTTGCCCTGGAGGCAGCAGGTCCAGCGTGCGCTGCGGAAAGCACCAGGGTGGCAGGCGGCCAGTTTGTTCGGGTTGGGTGCGCTGGCCTTGCGCAGGGCCGACAGCCATTGGTTCAGATCGTTCACATTCTGCAACAAATGAGGGGCACCAGGGGATAGGGTAGGACCCCAGGGACGCCCTCTCACCCAGGCCCCATCTTAGGGATCGGTGCCTCGCCTCACCTTACACTGGAGGTAGACAGTGTGCAGTGCCCCGGCGCCGTCTTCGGTCAGCACCTGCATCACGTGGGGCAGCTGGAAAGCGCTCTCATCCACGCGCTCCACAGCGCGGATGTGTGACACTGGGATGGAGGAGCACATCTGGGGGAAGGATATTGGCTGTGGGGAGGCCTGGGGACTGGGGCCCAGGGAGAACTTTCTAGGGGAGTATATATCAGGGCATGTCCCTAGGGGCGGGACACTCAACCTAGTGTGTTTCACATCTGAGTTCCCCAGGCCTGCCTCATCCTTCTCTGAACATGTGATAGATTCTTGGGGCATAGGTTTTTTCCTCTGTAATAATGATGATGGTGATGATGATGATAATGCTGTTGTTAGGTGCTATGGAGGGGATCCCACCTCATAGTGACTCCGTGTGACATTGTAGAATTGCCCCATCCAGTTTCCTAGGCTATAATTTTTATGGTGGAGTGCAGTGGCTCTGTAGAATAAACACTGGACTGCGAACCACAAGGTTGGCAGTTCAAACCCACTAGCTACTCCTCTGCAGAAGGACAAGGCTTTCTGCTCCCACAATGATTTTCAGCCTTGGAAATCCTACAGAGGATCTCTGTGAGTTGGAATCAACTCATCAGCACTTAATAACAACAACAATCTTTATGGGAGCAGATCACCAGGTATTTCCTCCTATAGAGCTGCTGCATAGGTTCTAACCACCAATTTTTTGGTTAGCAGCCAAGGGTTGTGCCACCAAACCCAAGCCAAGCCCACTACCCACGATTCCAACTCATAGGGACCCTCTAGAATATGAGAATTGCCCCATAGGGCTTCCAAGGCTATAATCGTCACGGGAGCAGACTGCTACTCTTTCGTTCCTTGGAATGCTTGGTGGGTTCCTAGGACCTTTAGGTTAGCAGCTAAGCTCTTTAATCATTACCGCACCACCAGAGCACCTTAATGATAATAAAGGCCAACACTTAATAGAGATCAGGATGTCTCCATGTTTCAACATAGGTCATCATCACATCAAACCTCTGAAATTCAATCTGTTATTTTCCCTAGTATGCGGATGAGGAAACAGAGGCACAAGAGGATAAATGACTCTTCCAAGGCCACACAGCTGGTGCATAATGTAACTAGAATTGGAACCCAAGGAGTAGACATCTAGAAGTTTTTGCTGAGTGGACTCTGACTCATAGCAATGCCCCGTGACAGAGTACAACTGCCCTCCAGGGTTTTCTAGACTGGACTCTTCATGGGATTATCTAGGTTTTTCTAGACTATACCTACTTCACCGTAAAGATCACAGCCTGGTAAACTCCATGGGACAGTTTCTACTTTGTCCTATGAGGTTGCTATGAGTCAAAATCAACTTACAACCTTTATGGAAGTAGATCACCAGGTCTTCCTCCCATGGAAGCACTGGGTGGGTTTGAACTGCCAATCTGTTGGTTAGCAGTCCAGCTCTTAACCGTTGTGCCACCAGGGATACTTCACACTATTTGCTCTTACAACCTACGGATGTGCATATGCAGGGATGAGTACTGATGCTGAACACCAGTGCATGAGAACAGCCTAACAATGAACTGGCACTCAAGAGAGGTTTGCTTAGTGCAGGGGTGGGGAATGAATGTCTGCCCTTATACAACCCGTGAAATCATTTGGTTTGGCCCTGCCAAGGCATCTGCACTTCCAGCCATCACATTGTTGTTGTTAAGTGCCGTGGAGTCAGTTTCGACTCATAGCAACCCTGTACAGGGTTTCCGAGGCTGTAAATCTTTACGGGAGCAGAAAGCCTCATCTTTCTCCCACAGAACAGCTGGTAGTTTCAAACTGCTGACCTTGTGGTTCGCAGCCCAATTCGTAACCACTACGCTACCATAGCCCCTTACCCCTGGCTTAGTGAATGAATAAATGTGTGTAGGCCTGAATGTATGCACAAGGGGGCATGCTGTGTTAAGAGAGCTGTTCAGTTTTCTGGTGAATCTACATGGCATGTGGGCATAGATCTGGGTGGTCAGGCAGTGCTGGTGCCCTGTGTGTGTCCCCACCTGGAAGGGTGTGTCATGACCTCTCCAGGCACATGCTGATGCCAATGGGAAGCACAGACTTGTCATGTCTCTGCCCTGTGCCTATACACTGTGAGCAGAGCCTGGCCTGAGAGTTAGTGGTGGTCATGGTGGTGTGCCGTGGAGTGGGTTCTGACTCATAGCAACCCTGTATAGGGTTTCTGAAGCTTGTAAATCTTTCTCCTGCGGAACTGCTAGTAGTTTTGAACTGCTGACCTTGAGATGGGAGTTCCTAAGGTGCTATGGGACCTTAGGCAAGCTCTTGTCCTGCTCTGGGCTTCAGTTTCACCCTAGGTCCAAAGAGGTAATCTTTGAGGGGACCACCACTGGATGCCCCTCCACTGTGGGCTGAGCCCCACCTGCCACTCAGGATTCTTGGAGTATGACAGGGTCTCCCCGCTAAGCCAGAAGTAGCGCTTCTTGAAGGCAAAGCGTGTAGCCAGGCTGGTGGGTTCCTCCTTGCGCTTCAGCAGGTAGCCTTCTCGAACGGTCACCGAGGGCGGGACTAGGGCCCTGGCCAGGCCCCCAGCCTCTGGGAAATGGGGAGGGGGACAGTCAGCCCTCCCTACTGGGCTCCATCTGCCCCGCCAGCAGGCCCAGTGCCCCATTGATCAGTTTAGTTCTCTCTCCCCTGGAGGCAGGTGAATGGGCACGATGACCTTTGACCTCTACTTGTCCTTGAAGTTAGGACCTGGGATTTGCAAGTCAGTGCGGCAGACAGCCAGCAGTGGAAGTCATACCCTATGGAGTTCATCCTAGGTAGGGTCCTGGGTCTCTACCCCAGATGAGGCGGATACGGGTCTCTCCCTAGTACCACAGGGAGCCCACCAGGCCACATTCAGGGCTCCACATTCCACAGGCTGCTTCTGCAGGACTTGAACTCAACTATGCCATAATGTGGACCCCATGTGGTAACATGAACTTAACCCAAACTCTGATTAAAACCTCCCTGGCTCCGTTTTACTCCAAGTAAAAGCCCAAAGCCTTACTTATAGTGGTCTCCAAAACCCACATGGTCTAGGCTAGTCCCCTCTCCACCTGTCTTACACAGTCACTTTTCTTCACCTGGCCTTCTCAGTGTGAGGCCGGTCCCTACCCCAGGGCCTTTGCACTTGCTGTTCCCTCTCCCCAGAATCCTCCTCCAGGTCTCTACTCTGATGTCACCTCCTGTAGGCAGCTCCTATTCAGCCTACCTAGAATGTCCACATGCCATCTTCATCCATGTGCTCTCTGTTCCCTTCCCTGCTCTGTTTTTGATCCTTGGCACCTCTAGTTTAAGCTCAGAGATGTCTTTACAGTTCATGGTCCCCTAGAGTGAGGCTTGCAGGAGAGTGAGATTTCCTTTTGTCTTTCTCACCCCTGCCTTCCGAGCACCTGGAGTGCTTGTGGGTTGAGTCCATTCTGACTCATAGTGACCCTGTAAGAGTAGAAATGTCCTAAAGGGTTTCCAGGGCTGACATCTTTATGAAAGTAGAATGCGAGAACTTTTCTCCGGTAGAACTGCTGGTGAGCTAGAACTATTGAGCTTTGGTCTAGCAGCCCAGAACTTAACCAGTGGCCCAGTGGCTACTTATTGACTGAATGCACCCTGTGCCATAGTCCCGTCCACATCCTCTCTTTGGCTGGAATGGCCTGGAGGGTGGGATCCAGCACAGCAGATGCTAGGAAACATTAGTTGGGTCAACACTGGCACCATAGGATAAACACTTGACCTCAAGTTCGGTTTGAACTACAAGGTCAAGGTTGGAGGTTCAAACTCACCAGCCACTCCTCGGAAACGTTATACAGGGTTGCTATGAGCTGGAACTGACTCTATGGCACTTAACAACAAAACCAGCAACAATGTCCTCAGTGCTGGGGAGAGGAGGGTGGGAAGGTGGGTCTTGAGGACATAGTGGGTAATAAACCAGGTATGGCAAGACCCAGGTACTCACCCCCCTCCCCTTCCACGTCCACCAGCCGGTCCAGGAAGTCTCTCACGCGTGAGATACTCTGCAGCAGGAAGGGATGTAGGGGTGTCATCCACAGCTCCTTGCCCTGGCCCAACTGCTGGCCCAGGTTACCAATGCTCTGCACAGCCTAAAGCAGAGAAGCAGGGGATGTCAGGGCAAAAGTCATTGTGTGTGTGTGAGATGGGTGCCCTGGGGAGGGGAGATCCCCTGTGATCCCAAATAAAGTCCCAGACTCCTGACTCCCCAACCAGTAACCCAACAAAGGAGAAGACTCCCAGCAGTCTTATCCTGCCATTCCCTTCATCTTTTGGAATTTTACCCCCATTGTCCTTATCCGGCCCCCAGCAGGCCTAGAGCTCCCCACCCAGGACTGCCCATCCCTATGATGCATACTCCGGAACCCATCAGAACCTCAAGGTGTTGCCTCCATACTAATCCCTAAATGTCTGCTAGGCTGCTTCTTACTCTCCTCCTGGAAGGGTAAGAACTGGACACTGGTGAATGTAATGTCTGCTTTCACACCCAGGATGGATTGCTAGTGATGCATCACTCATGGGTCTCTTTAGGTCTCTGGTGGGTCTCTGGTGAGTCTTCTGAGGGTCCAACCTCCCAGCTTGGCTCCTACCACACTTTTCCCTGGTTGAGAGCTTTGGAGATGGGAGCTTCCGCTGCAATGTTGTTGTTGTTAAACACCTTGGCAATTAGCAGCAGCGAGCGGCTGGTCTGGGGGTCTGCGTGCTGATCCCGGAGGTCAAATAGCTTCGGAGTGAGAATGGCAGGTGCAAAGAAGCGTAGGAAGAGGAAGCCGCTAATGGCCAGGTACTTCACATCCTGCAGCAGATGAGAGGGGACCCCAACAAACACTTACCAGCTGGGGGGAAATGAGGCAGCAGGGGCAAGGGGAAGTAGGGTGGAAAAGGTCAGGAGACCATTCTGGTCAGCCAAGGACCAGCTATGTGGACTTGGAAATCTTGTTTCCTCTCTCTGGCTCAGTTTCTCCACCTGGAAAATGGGGTAACATGACCAGTACTGCACATTTAGATTAAGCCAAAAGTCCTCAAAGTCAGCGCTGTGCCAGGCATTGGTTTATGAGCACAGACTTAGGAGGGAGGTGCCATCATTATTTTCACTTTACAGATGAGGAAGTGGAAGCTCAGAGATATCAAGTGACTTACCCAAGGTCACACAGCTGATGAGTGGAGAAGGAAGGATTCAAACCTAGATCAGTATGATTTATGGTAATAATAATAGCAACTGGTCAAGCACTTCTCCATACATTTGTTTATTTAATACTCACTCTAGGAGGGATAATCATCTCCATTATACAGAAGAGGTACCTGAGGCCCCAGAGACTGACAGAGCCAGAATTTGAACCCAGGCAGGATTTGAACCTTCTGTTGTTACCCACACTCTCCTGCTCTCCAACACCAGCTACTGTGGAGTGCATGCTCACTGAGGGCCAGGCCTTGTTATTCTCCATTTACAGATGAGGAAACTGAGGCTCAGTAGTGAACCCAGTTGAGCCGGCTCCAGAATTCATCTCATGAGCACCCTCTGTCCTGGCGTCCCTCTATGTAAGGCAGGTTCTCTCAATCCCAGCCGAAGGGGCTCTGAAGAGGGTGTGCCTCCATTCTGGGTGCATCTGGCTCCCACAACACCAGCTCCACACCCACCTCTCACACTCGCCAGCTATATTTGGCCTGAAAATGCGTTCCTGAGTTTTTTTAAGGGTTGTATTCACACATGAGGCAAAATCCTCTCCTGGGTGTGTGCCAGCTTCCTGGGGACACCGCAGTCTTCACAACAAACCTTGCTAAGCACTGCCCAGAAGGAGGGTCTTTGTGCCCCCACACTCCCTCAGGTTTCCCTTGAACCCTGAGCTACCCCCAAAGCTACCATCCCCTCCCCAGCCAGGTTCAAGGGTAAGGTTAGCTTTCACCATCCACTCTTTTGGAGTTCTAGTGTGGAGCTGTAGTTATTCTATACTGCACTGGACTGCAAGGTTGGTTTGAACTGCAAGATTAGCAGTTCAAACTGACCAGTCGCTCCTCAGAAACCCTATACAGGGTCGCTATGAATCGGAACCATCTCAATGGCACTTAACAACAACAACAACAATCCACTCTTTCAGTTCCTCCTTTCTCCAGAGGGAGACTCAGGTGTCAGAATAGCAAAAAGGAGCTTCCCTGACCCCACCTGTCTCTATGGGCCTGAGAGATTCCCTGCTTCCTGCCCAAGGCCACTGCCCAACTCTGGGGCTGAGAATGGGGAGGGGGAGCAGGGAGGGGCACTGGGGTGTTTCTGATACTGGCTCTCCATAAAGGCTGGGTTGTCTGGAGGGGCTGTCCCCTTGCTTTCCCTTCTCCCAGAAACAGCTGTGCTCCACTTAACACCTCTGCTGGCAGCTCAGGTGAGAGCCAGGCAAAGTAGGGTGTAAATCAAACCACATCCCAATTTCCAACCTGGAGCAGAGCACATTCCTGTACTCCTTGAGTGGAAACAGGGGCTGAGGGGAGGGAGGGCTGAGGGAAAGATCTCAGCGTGCAGTCCAAAAACCACCTAGGTCTAAATCACACCCTGGGTCCAGACTCCTCGCCTCTCCAGGCCTCGGTTCCCCATCTGCAAAGAAGTTGGGACAGATGTAGCACATATCCAGGCTCTTAAGATTGGACCACTCCAGCTCCACAGCTCAGCAAGTCACATCCCGGCGTGCATTCCTGCTACCTCAGGCCTGTGTATATGAGTTACTCTTCCCAATGCCATATGTAAACAAGGACAATGATGGCCACCTCAGAGGGTGTGCTGAGTATGAAGTCAGGATGTACATTTTAAAAAAACAACCACGAATTAGTGCCAACATTTTTTTTTTTTTTTAAATGAGAGTCCCCACATAAAATCCAGAATTTTGGCTTAAAAAACAACAACTCAGAAGCTCTGGCAATGTGGGATCTCTGATGGCACTGTAGGATAAGCCTTGGACTACTGACTGCAAGGTCGGCAGTTCAAGCCCATCAGCTGCTCTGTGGGAGAAAGTTGAAGCTGTCTGTTCCTGTAAAGGTATGTTGTTGTTGTAAAGTGCTGCCGAGTCGATTCCGACCCAAGGCGACCTTGTATAGGGTTTCTGAGGAGCAGCTGGTAAGCTTGAACCACCAACCTTTCAGGTCAAACAACTGCAGTCTGGCGCATTAACCCACAGTACCACAACATTAGTCGGAATTGGCTGGATGGCAGTGAGTTTATTCCTACATGGCAACAAGAGTCTAGAGATGCCCCATTAGATGAATTGGGGGTTCTATAGATTTCCACAGTCTCCACCACTCCCTACTGACCTACACCTTGCCAGCGTCATTCATTTACCTCATCTGCCTGAAATCCACAGCACAATTTCAACTTTGGTATCAGAGACTTATTTTTAGATTTTATTTTCAGTGTCTCCTCCTGAGCACCTACAATGTGCCAGGTTTGCGTGGCTGTCTATCTATGTGTGTGTGTCTCTCTCTCAATAACAGTTGGAACTTAAGAAGCATTTACTTTGTGCCAAAATCTGTTATTTGGTGGTTATGAGCAAGACTCAGGAGCCAGTCTGTCTGGGTTCCTATCCCAGCATCACCTCTTCCTAGCTATGTGCTTTCAGTTCTCTACAAAAATGGGAGTAGTACTCATACCCACGTTGTAGGGTGAAGCAGAGATTATTAAAAAACAAATCCAAACCCACTACCTAATCTATTCTGACTCATACTGACCCTGTATAGGGTTTCCGAGGCTGTAAATCTTTATGGGAGCAGAAAGCCTTATCATTCTCCTGAGGAGCAGCTGGTGGGTTTGAATTGCCAACTTTGTGGTTAGTCAGTTACAATTCATAGCGGCCCTGTATAGGTTTCCGAGGACTTTCAGTCCAGCGCATTAACCCGTAGTGCCACACCAGGGCTCCTTACACAGAGATTAGCGGTGGTAATAAATACGTAAAGCACTCAAAACAAGGACTAGTCCACAGTAAGGGCTCTGCCATTGCTATCATTATATATGATACTATTTATAGTATCATTATATATGATATCATATTTATAATACTATTATAAATAACAATATTATTATTGTGGTTATTATTATTCCAGGATCCCAGACCTCTCCTGGAGTGCTGCTGGAACAGAGTGCTTCATACAGGCAGCCTCACTGTGTGACCCTAGACAAGTCATTTTTCCTCCCCAGCCTCAGTCTCCCCACCTGGCCCACTGTGCCCACCTCATGCTCCGCCTGAGGGAAGCGTTCCTCGACACGCTGGTGCAACTGCTTGAAAGCCAGGCGCATGGTGGGTGGGCAGCGCCCCACAGAGCCCACAATGGCATCCATGATGGGTCCCAGGTAGCCTGTCAGCAGCCCCAGGCTGGTCTCTCGCACATGCTCCTCTGAGGCAGAGGCTTTGAAGGAGATTCGCCTGAAGGAGCAAGCGGGACAGCTCAGGCACAGAAGACAGCATCCACCTGTGCAACCATGAGCTTCATCCTGACCCATGGAGCTCTTTCCTACCTCAGAGCCTTTGCATGTGCTGTTCTTTCTGTCTTGAACACTCTTACCCACACATTCAGCTCCTCAAGGGGGCTGTCCTACCCCCATTGCTTATCATCACAAGCTCTAGTTCATTGCATTTCCAGGATGGATATGCCAAACCCCACCCCTCTGACCTCAGGGCCTTCACACTTGCTGTTCCCTATGGCTCTAACACTGTTTCACCAGGTCTCCCCAAGACACCATCTCTCACTTCCTTCAAGTCCTTGCTCAAATGTCCTTTGCTCTAGAAGGCTGTCTGTAGGACCCCACTCCCTGCTGGCACATCCCACCCCTTCCTTACTTCTTTTCCTCTGGTTGATGGATTGCCTCCAATGTTTTCTTTAGTTAGTTTTAATCTGCCTTCCCCAAGAGGAGGGGTTTGTGTCCATGTGTTCCTTATCATATCCTCATAGCTCAGCCCAGTGCCCAGCACATAGTAGGTGATCAATAATTCTTTTGTTGATGGAGGACAGAGGAGCCTTTTTCTTCCTGTAATGATCTCGTTCCCTGCTTTAGCAGCAGCTTTCCCATCTGTCTCACTCATTCCCAGACTGCACACTCCGTGGAAGCAGAACATGGAGTTCACAAGCTAAGCCCTGGATGAACTGCCTTCTGAAAACCGATCTGGATCAATTGATCTGGATTATTTGATCCGAAAGGCAACCTGATGGGTCAAGTAACCTGAAAAATAACCCCTTTAACAGCTGAGGTTCAGAGAGGTTACCTTACAAATACATGGCAGAATTGAGATTAGAACTCAGGGCTGAATTAATAAAATAATAAAATGAGCACCATTATAATAAAGCTAACACTTCTGGGGTACTTACCATGTACTGGGCTTGACGTGTACAAGAGGGCTTCAAAAGTTCATTGGAAAATGCCATGATTTTCTAGTCCATTTTTCTGTGAACTTTTTGAAGCCCTCTCACAGAACTTGTTTAATTCTCATGCCCACTCACGAGGTAGCTCTCATGAGCTCTGTGGCAACCCATGAGGTAATAACATGAGCCTATATTTCAGATGAAATAACTGGCATGGGAGGTAAGAAGCAGAACTGGGATTTGAACCCAGGGAGATGGGTTTCAGAGTTCTGTCCTTAACCATGACATTACACAGCCTAAAGCACTACATGCTCACTTGGAAGGCTCTGACGTTATCTGTGCAGCTCCCTAGAGTGGGTGGCAGCTGGCTTGGTCCACGTGACAGGGATCCTGGTGGACACAGTGGCTGGGGAAGGGCTGGGGTATTGAGCTTTGCTCACCGGGTCCGGCCCAGCTCTATCTTGCATGGGTCCAGCTCCATGTACTTCTTCTCCTCAAAGATGCGGTTGACCACTGGCTTCAGGACTTCGTGCAGGTAGGGCATGCCCACGAGCTGGGAGCACCACACAGGGTAGGGCTGAGGGCAAGGCCGGGGTGTGCCCACAAGCAGGGACAGGGTAGGGGTCACATAGGGATCAGCTCAAGGCAAGGCATATCCAAGAACTGGGGCAGGGGGCACCCCTAGGGTACATGGGACACAGTTCAAAGTGAGGCTGGGGTACAACCAAGAGGCTGGGCAGGGCTACCACTCCAGCCACCAACACCCAAGCCAGCCACACAAGGCTGGCCAAGGGCTGCATCCGGCTGAGCACCACGAAGTGGGTCCCCCTCAGTAGCGGCCACGTGGCCCCATCAACCCTTCTCCTCACCTTCATAAACTGTTCCATTGATTTGGATGCCAGCGAGTTAGAACGGAAGAGAGTGTTGGGGTCGGCTGAGAGGACAGGGGAGGGGGGAAATGTTGCTGGGATATGGGGGTTGGACCCAGTTCACTCCACCCACCTAAGGAGGGGGTCATAATTCTTGTGGCTTAGGAATCAGGGAGACCCACACAGTCAGCTCCTTTCATAGTGCAAAGGCCAAAGTTACAGAGCTAACGAGTAGCCAGCTCGGGGTCTGGGCCCAGAACTGTGCTGGGGATGCACAAAGCAGAGACCCTTCTCCAACACAGGAGCCCTACCCTCTGCCTGAGGGCTCCCCGTTCCTCCCCCAGGGACCTGCCTGCAGGCCCAGCCTTGGGAAATAGTGTCTGGAGGTCAGTGAGTAACTCACCCGTCCGGGCCAGCTCTCGCCGGGTGAGATAGTCCAAGAAGGGCCCAGCCAGGCCCCGGCCGAGGAAGAGTTTCACTAGCTTGGTGGCGAGGTCCTGGCGGCAGTCCCCTGAGGTCAGTTCCTCCAGCACAGCCAGGGGGCTAGCAATATCCTCCTGGGCAGGGACAGGAGGCAGAGGAGGTGGCCCTGGGGTCCAAGGCAAAGAGCCCAGGTAGGGCTACCTGAAGTGGGAGGCCATGACCCAGACATCCACACATCCCCAGCAGAACCACGTGCCGGGGGCACCCACCTCTGCTGGCCCCATCGCAGACTCCATGAGCAGCTCTAGAAGCGGCTGATAGTAGGAGGAAGGCAGGACTCGGTCCTCGGTCAGGCGCACCTTCAGCCGCAGAGCCCCCAGGCTCCCCCTGTCCAGAGGTCAGACCACAGGACGAGTGACCAGGGGTGGATATTCCAGATAGGCAGATGTAAACACAGATGATATTTGCATGGGTATTTGCAAAATGGGGACGGTGTGGCAGAAAACCAAGTGTGAGTAGGTATTGGCAGGTGTGAACAGGAAAGGACTAGTACAGGTTGTGTGATGTATACAGGGTATGGCTGGTGTGGACAGTAGGTACAGGAATGGATGGTGTGAGCAGGGGTGGACAGTGTAGCTAGCTGTGGACAGGTGTGGATAGGACAGGTATGGACAGGTATGGATAGGTGTGGAAGAGCCCAAAGTCTCTCACATATACCAGTAACATGAAATGGCATGTTCATATGTGAACAGGTAAATGGATGCAAGGTGAACTCATATGTAAACACACATTGACTGGCATTCAACTAAGGCTTGTTGAATGAATGAATGAACGCTGCCCAACATGGTTCCAGCTGGTCCCCTGCCTGGGCCCCCACATTTACCCAGCATCCTCCTCAGCTCTGGGAAAGGGCAGGAGGCGGAACCAGCCATTGGGTGGGTTCTGCTGCAGGACCTCTGGAGGGAATTCCACCTGTGGAGACACACAGGCCCTCAGCTGATCCCTGCCCTGCCCAGCCCAGACCCTCCACCTCCAGCCGGATACAAGAGCTCAGATAGCTCACCGCAGGTGGCAACACAGCCTACCAGGGTCCCCATCAGATCCCTTTGACACAACATGAATGTCCCTGATTATTTCCTCCTGCTTGGGATCTGGAGACTCAGAGAGGCTCAGCCAAGTGCTAGGCACAACCAGGACTCAAACAGGTCTGCATTGGGCGACTTTTGATTTCTATCTGGGAACACAGGGAGTGTGGCGGCTCCATCCGATAAGCATTGGACTGTGAACCACAAGTTATGTGGTTTGAACCTTGCAGACACTTCACTGGAGAAAGATGAGGCTTTCTGCTCCTGCAATGATTTAAAAGCCTCGGCAACGCTATACAAGGTTGCTATGAGTCAGAACTGACAACAACAACAATCTGGGAACACAAATTATGTTTAACAAAAGACTTAAGATAGTCCAAAAGGCCCCTGGGCCCTCTTCTGTGTGTTTCCTTCTTTAAATAACAGCTTTGTTGAGGTGGAATTCACACACCAGACAATTTACCTATTTAAAGTATACGATTCAATGGTTTCCATTACTGTCACAGAGTTGTGAAACCATCATCACTAATTTCAGAGCATTTTCATTATCTCCCGCTCCACAAAAGTCACAGTGAGACCACATTCTGTGTACCCATTCATCAGTTGATGGGCTTTTGAGTGGTTTCCACTTTTTGGCTGCTATGAATGAATGAATGCTATGAACATGTGAATACAACTTTTCTGTGTCAACTTATGTTTTCATGCATACCTAGGTGCAGGCTAGCTCAGAAGGTACATCTATATTTAACCTTTGAGGAACTGCCAGGCTATTTTCCAAAGTAGCTGCGCCATTTTACAATTCCACTACTAATGCATGCCTGGATCTCTCTTTGACTTGATCTAATCTTGCCTCCTTTTAAAAAAAATAAAATAAAAATTCACATTCATTATTCCTGTGAAGTAACAAGAATCACTCCCTTTGCCTCCAGGTGTAAGGCTTAAGGTCTGAAATCAGAGAGACTTGAACTCAAATCGCAGCTCTGCCATTTCTTAGCCATGTGACCTTGGGCAAGCCATTTGACTTTGACCCTCAGTTTCCTGATCTGTAAGATGGGGGTAGCAGCAGTCCTGGCTTTATATACAGTGTTGTTGTAAGGGCGAAATCAATGAGATTCTCCTGGAGAAGCACAGAGCAGGCACACAGTTGTCCTGGCTGTTCTGTTCCCGAAAGAGAAACTGTGTTCCCAGAACAGTGACCTTGGGTAGATCCCTGCCCCTTTAGTACCCTTGGTCTTCTCGCCTGTATAATGGGGCAATGGAACCCCATCACCCAGGCCTGGCCAATCCTGGACTCCTGGGGAACTTGTAGAAGCAGGCTCCACATCTGCCTGCCCCAGCCCACAAAGGCTAAATCTATCTCCTCCTTCCTTCCCCATGGGGCACTGGGGGACCACAAAGGGTGTCAGGGACAGGGCACTCACCATGCCCAAAAAGTCATTCTTGCCCACCATGTCCCAGTCCCACAGCTCCACCCTCAGGGAGGACGGTGTTCCTGGCAGTTCGAGCAGCTCCAGCACCTCATCCCAGTGTGGAAAGCGGGTCTTCTTAATTGTCTGGGGGAGGTGAGGGTAGTCTGTGAGAGAAAGCACTGGTGCCCCCCACCCCACCTCCACCCCACCTCCAAATACTCCCCTCATCCCCCACTCACAGTGGTCTCCATGGTCTGGCTGCCCCAAAACACACGTGCAAATGGGTCAGACGTGCCCGAGATGTCACGGGGAGCCAGGTCCCTGGGGAAAGAGAGGGAATAGGATAAGAGGGGACAGGACCCTTAGGGACCAAGACCAAGTTGGTAGTCACAGTAGTGGGGTTTCAGGGTAAATCATTCAAATGTCACTGGTTTCCAAAGCAATGACCTACTCCATGGTCATCATGCTCACCCAGACTGGGGATCTCCCTGCTGCTTCACACCTACCCTATGAGGAGGCAGTGGTCTGTCCCTATTTTCCAACTGGGGAAACTGAGGCACAGAAAAATCAAGTCCTGCCTCACAAAAGGAAGGTGAAGTTGGGGAGTAGGGATTCTGCGGTGGTTCCCTGGGGCCCTGGGTAGAAGACTAGAAGTCAGACTGGGTAACCCTGAGAACAATCACATTGCTTCTTTAAGCCTCAATTTCCCTCATCTGGAAACTAGGAATAATTATAGACCAAGCTCACAAAAGGTGAAATAAAATGAGATGTGTAAAGGGTAAGCCCTTAGCACAGCATCGGGTGGGTAGCGAGTGCTCAGCTCATTCATTCCTTCAATAAACATTCCTGCATCTGCCTGTTGTAGTGTTGTTGTGTACACCTGCCTGTAGTTGTGTTGTTGTTGTGTTGTGTACACCTGCCTGTTGTTGTTGTTGTGTTCAATGCCTAGTGACCCTGTATAGGGTTTCTGAGAGTGGCTGGTGGGTTTGAACTGCTTCCCTTGTACTTAGTAGTCCAGGCATGAGGGTGACTTTGGTCCCCATAACAACCTCAAAGACCTACCTCTCCTCCCCAAGGTCCCCCCCAATCCAAGGGCACCCCCTTCCTTGGGCTTCCTCCTCCTGCTCCTCTCCCTTCCCTGCTTGGTATCCAGAGCCTTCTTCTTTGGTTTCCTAGGAGCTGGCCCAGTTGCTAAGCGACAGCAATCAGTCCCTCTTCTGCTTGCAAGGATTCTGCATAGCCTCGTGACTGAGGAGGGGGTCGTGGGCACAGAGCAGATGGGGAGCCCCTGCTCTGTGCTGAATTCCTTCACCTGCCCACTATCCCCTTGGTGATCCCTCATCCATACTCTCAACTGAGGTCCAAACTAGGAGCAGAAATCTGGAAATGGTGGTGGAGGCACAGAGAGGTCAAGGAAGGACTTTAATGTCACAAAGCAAGCTAGAAATATGAGGATATGTCAGAAAGTATTGCTACAAAATCATAGAACCCTTTATTAAACAGAAATATCAAAATGCGAAGTTACTGTTTCTCAACATAGCTTTCATCTTTGTCTATACATTTCCATCGCTCTAACCCTTCTCTGAAGAATTCTGAGCTCTTTGATTTACATCACATCAAAATGGTAATTTTGGCATCCTTAAGGGGTTCATATCACACTCCTTTTAAATGTTCCCTGAGTTTGGGAACATGAGGAAGTCTGAAGGGGCAAGATCAGGCCTATAGGGTAGATGGGGTAAGGTTTCCTAATGCAGCTCCCGCAGGACGCCCTTACTACCCTCAAAGAATGAGAAGTTCTTTGTAGTGATGATACAAATTCCTCAGGGCAACTTTCCTGGTCTTTTTCTCACCAATGCAGTTTTGTTTTGTTTTTTACATTTCTTCATAATAGGGTCCCTGTGATCTTTGTTCTTTGAGAAAAATCATCCAGAATACCTCCTTTTTTAATCCCAAAAAACAGTTTCCATGACCTGAGCTGACCTCTCTGCCTTGAATTTAACTGGTCCAGTAGATCCCCTCAGAAGCCCCTGGTTTGATTGGGTCTTTTTACTAAAGGCACTCAAATGAGACTAAGACTAGTCTGTTATTACTGAGAGAACTTGTCTTCAGCCATCCACTGATCACAGACACAGCTTTTGTTTGAAATAAGCCCATGCTTATATGAACTGGAACTTCATTAGCAATATTTTTGGATTTACCTTCCTATAGTTCTCCCCTCCCTGGGTACGGGTTGGCCTAAAAGTGATGACTGGGGGAGTGATATGGGAAAGTAAGGCAGAAAATTGGTTTGAGGGTGATGAGAGGGGAAAAGGATGGAGTCACTGAAGCAAGTAGAATGATGGATGAGCTGAGGCAGAGAGAAGGGAGCGGCCCAGAGGGAAGATGGATAGTCCATGAGCTGGTGCCCTGTAGGGGACATCCGTGGGTATATTGGACCTTCATCCCTGATTTTCCTTTGGGGCAGCACCTGCCCCTCTCCCATTCCTAGACCACCTGATATAAATGAGCTGACTCCACCGTCTACTCTAAGAATAGATTTGTGACTAAGTTCTGACCAATCTGACTGACCTATCTGATTGCTGCAGAAAGAGCATACATCCCGGACTGAGTGCATAAGAATTTGTCCCAGGATTTTGGTTAGAAATAGAAGTTATTTTTCAGTTGGAGCTGTTACATTTGTAAGATGCCAGCCTGGGGATGCTGGTCCCATCTTTATCCCTATGTGGGAAAAGTCTGCTTAAGAATGAAGCTAACACAGAGGATAACAGAGCCAAAAGATAGAGACAAATTGCTGAAGAAACTGTTTAAGCACCTGGATCCAGCCATGCCTGAAGCACATAGCAATCACATGCACCAATAAATCACCTCTTTTGCTAAAGCCAGTATGAACTGGGTTTTTGTCACTTATAATTTGATTACTACACTTCCTCATTCATCTCCCTAGCCATCATGAATGTCTGCTCTCTTGTGGCTGATCACTAGAGACCCAACATGGAGTTTTACTCGTGCCCTGTCCCCAAAAACTGGCAGCTGGTGAACTTAGAACTATTGGCTCACACAGGGATCCTGGTTGTGAACCCACAAGTGCCCACGAAGTAAGGACATTCTAAAGATCAGAGCAACTGATATATATCTACGCAACTTACCCCTTCTCTTTCTCAGACATACACACTCCCCACCCCCATCCCACCACCAGTGACCATACCTGGCTTGCAGCACATGGCAGCGGAGGCAGCGGCCCCTCCCATTCTCCAGCATCTGCACTGCCAGTCGTATCTCACCCTGCACCTCTGCATCTGGGTCCACACGGCTCAGGTTGATCCAGCGGTCGATCCCTGGCAGGTATTATTGTTGTTAGGTGCCAATGAGTCTATTCCTAATTCATAGTGACTTCTAGGATGATCTAGGCTGCCTATCATTTTTATGGAAGCAAATAGCCAGATCTTTTCTCCTGAGGAGCTGCTAGTGGGTCCAAGCCACTGACTGTTCAATTAGCTACCAGGTGATTGACCACTGCACCACCAGAGCTCCATTGGCAAGCATAGGCACCAATATTTATTAAGTACCCACCATGCACTTGTGAATAAGGAAGACCAATGAAGAAGCGATGCCTTTGAGTTATGGTATTGGAAAAGAATATTAAAGGTACCATGAACTACCAGAAGAACAAACAAATCTGTGATGGAAGAAATACAACCAGAATGCTCCTTAGAAGCCAAGACGGTCAGACTTCTTCTCTCATACTTGGTGCATATTATTAGGAGGGACCAGTCCCTAGAGAAAGACATCATGCTGGGTAAAGTGGATGGTTGGAGAAAAAGATGGAGACCCCTAATGACATGGATTGGCCTAGTGGCAGCAACAATGGGCTCAAGTGTAGCAGCAAGTGTGAGGCTGGTGCAGGAGGACTGGGCAGGTTTTCGTTCTGCGGGCAGTTTTTCATTCTGTTGTACATAAGGTCTCTATGAGTTAGAACTGATTTGATGGCACTTAACAACAACAACAACAACATACACTAGGCATTGTACTGACTTAAAAATTCAATTAAGGTTAAAAATGTAGTAAGTCACTGGCTTCTCAGGTCAGCTTTCTAAGGTAGGTAGTAAACTGATGCCTATTTGCAGATGAGAAGAATAAGACACAGGGAGGGAAGAACCATGTTTATGATCACCCAGCTAGTAGATGGCAGAGCTAGGATTTGAACCCAGGGCTCATGCTGTAGTCGTGCAGATCACACTCTTTAGCCTGGCATATAAAGCCTGGACCACACCTGCCTCCAGAGGAGAATCCATAGACGTGCATCTTTGTGTCTCTGCCAACATACCTTTAAGGACCAAGTCATATAGTCCTTCCTCCAAGAAGCATTCCTTACCACACTAGCCCTCACTGGTCTCTCCCCTTCATGCACTGCCACACTTTACATATCCTCACCCCAGTCTATCTAAGTCTTGTTTGTAAAATGAAAAGCACCCAACACAGTTGAAGATACATGGACAGTTTCTTTCTTTCCTGGTCCAAGCGAATGCATTTTATTTTCCTATCAAATCTGTAAGTGTCTTGAAGCCAAGCCTCATACTTCATTATTTAATTTTACCCCTTTGTGTAGATGTTAAGGGTAAATTATAGCTCAGTGAGCAGGTTAACAACACATACCAGGACTCCAATACACACATACACACACACCCACACATACGAGGATGAGTCAAAAGTTATCTGCACTCTGGCCGATCAACTTCTAGAAAAGACAAATACATCATTTATATATATATGTTGTTGTTGTTATGTGCTGTGGAGTCGGTTCTGACTCATAGCATCCCTGTACAGGGTTTCCGAGGCTGCAAATCTTTACGGGAGCAGAAAGCCTCATCTTTCTCCCGTGGAACAGCTGGTAGTTTCAAACTGCTGACCCTGAGGTTTGCAACCAGATTCGTAACCACTATACTACCAGAGCTCCTTTATACATATATATATATAATCTTGCTTTTCAATACATTTTGTCCATCTGCCAACAAGCTTTCATATTCCCTTATTAAACAATGTTTTAGGCTGAGCTGCGAGCTACAAATGCATCACTGTCTACACTTTTTTTTTTTTCGCCTTCATTTCTTCATTAGTGGTGAATCTTCATCCTTGAAGGGCTGCCTTCAGGGGACCAAACAGGTGAAAATCCAATGGCCCAAGATCAGGACTATAGGGAGAGTGTTTGAATACCTCAAAGCAAAGTTTTTACAGAATGTCAACAGTGTGGGCAGAGGTGTGTGGACATACATGGTCATGCAGATCACAACACACTTGGATAGCAGTCTCTTGAATTTAATCCGAAATTTAGGCTTCAGCTCTTCAATGAGCATTTCACTGTAATGAGCACTATTGATTGTTGAACCTTTTTCCTAATAGTGTTCCAATACTGGTCCTTGAGAATCCCAGAAAAGTGTAAGCATCAATTTTCCAGCTGATGGTTGACTTTTGAACTTTTTTTGGTCGGCAGTTGAGAATGTTTCCATTCCATACTCTGCTGTTTACTCTCAGGCTTGTAGTGATGAGTCCATGTCTCTAAACCAGTAATGATTTTTTTTTTCAAAGAAACTTTTACTTTCCTTCTAGTATTGGTCCAAATTTTGTTTGTAGATGTCCAAACGTTTCTGTTTATGCTCTTCCGTGAGTTGTTTCTGTACTCATCTCACACAAACTTTTTGAAACCCAAGTTTGTCATGGATTATTTCATACACAGATCCAAGGCTAATTTGCAAATTATTTGCTACATAATCCACTGTCATTTGTCTATTTGACAGAATCATTTCATGTGTACATTCAATGTTGTCATCAGCTGTGGATGTGGACAGGTGTTTTAGTATCACCAGCGTGTGGCTAATTTTTGACTCAGTCTCATACAAAGTTCGGGAGAAAGATGAGGCTCTCTACTCCTATAAAGATTTACAGCCTTGGAAACCCTGTACAGGGTTGCTATGAGTCAGAAACGACTCAAAGGCACACAGCAGCCTCTATATTAAGTGTATATATATATATATATCTGGTAGCATAGTGGTTACGAATCGGGCTGCGAACCTTAAGGTCAGCGGTTCAAAACTACCAGCCGCTCCGCGGGAGAAAG